GAGAGAGAGAGAGAGAGAGAGAGAGAGAGAGCAAGAGACGAATATGTGTAAAAGGTTTAAATAACAGCAAATATAAAATGTTAATTGAAGCTTTTGCAATGTGGCTATATATATATATATGCTGTTTGGAAATGTTTCTGTTTGCTCATACACGTTCATGTTTTTACTGATTTTAGTTTGTCAGATGTTTGTTTCTTATAAATGTAACAGAGTAACCTGTAAGAACAAAACATACAAGGGAAATATGTTTCCCTGACATTTTCAGATACATAGCCTATTTGAATTTAGTCAAATTACCCAAACCTTAGACTTGTGTAATGACTCCAAGGCCTTCAAATGATCTTTGTTATTACTGGTATTGCTTATCAATATAGATTTTCATTTGCATTGAATTTGCAAGTGTTTTTCATTAAAACAGAAAGGCGGGCGAACACATTTTCTGTCTCGGTGTGAGGAGAACATGTCTGTATGCTTTTGGGCACAATCCACCTCAACAGCGATCCTCATCTAAAAGGTTTTTTTTAAATAGAAAAAAAAAATAGAATAGAATATTTTTCCTCATCGGTTTGAACGTACGTCGATTCAGCACAGACAAAAGCAGCGCCGCTCTCTGTGACAGCCACTGAGTTCATTTCCATAGATATAAGTGTAGAGTTGTAATATTTTACCAGTATTAAAGCTGGTGTGATTGTACATTCAAAATTCACACTCATCCCATCTTTTGCCTAAACACTCAAGTATGCACAAGCTGTAATGTTAAATGTGCCAAGCTTTCCATGCCCTCAGGTGTATGCCAGGGGTTTGTTGTTTTCACTGTAATATATAGTTAGCCCTTCCACCAATTTACCCTGTCAGTACTAATGGGGCAATTAACCATTGTGATACCCCCCAGGCAGAAGGAACAGCAAAAGCTCCACAACTCCAAACTTGTCTTTATGACATTTATATGACAAAATATGGGGGGAAGCTGGGGACCCATCTGACACCTTGGAGGGTCCTTAATGTCACTCCCTCACTTACCTCCGCCCCTTTCTGCCCCAGGGTATGGCACTGAGAAGGAAGTGTAATGCATCATGTATGGACAGGCTCGGGCCTCTTCCAAGAGAGAGGAAACTTTGTACTACATCCAAAGGCTCAGTGGGATAACACTGATTTAGTCCTTCACACACTCTGTCCCGTACTGTGGGATTATAAATGTAAACTGCCTCATATGCAGACACACTTCCAGTCAACACACTCTGGCTTGACCTCACCTTTCACTCCTGCCTTTTTTGGTGTCTCTTTGTCTGTGCTCACATTCCCCCTGTCCTTCTTACATCCCCAAGGAGGCAATAACCTCCCTAGCAAGAGCTTCCCCTTGAGCCGTTGTCATAGTAACTAGTAGGCTGGTCGACATGACAACCCCTACCATGGTCCAGAGATAGATGATAGGCCAGAAACGGGGAGGGAGAAGGCACATGGGAAATTTGCACCCCCCACCCCACTTTAATTTGCTTTGCCTGATTTTGATTCAAAATGTTTTTTTTTTCTTTTTTTCTCTCTAAGGGTGAGGTTCAGCCAGCTTCAGTCTCCTTTCCAGTTGCACAGGTATTTATAGACGGAAAACACTCTTGGTGCGTGAACAACTTCACTAAAAAGAGACTTGATCAGATTCATGAAACTTGGATAGATATTGTTGAGAAAAATTGTATTTCTCAGCAACTTACAAAAAACAAAAAATTAGGTTTCTGCTACAAAATGTTACAGTAATAAAATAGGCCTCACAATGAATTGTTAGTTTTGTATTACTACAACAGACCTGAACAAACTTACTCATTTTCTTTCAGAGTAAATCAGTATAGATGATAAATGCAAACAAAAATTAAAAATAAGGATTTTGCAGGGGTGAAGTTTCTGTGCGATTAAATATAGTAGGATATCTAATCCCCAGACTTTCTAAGATTCCCTAAATCTACTATTAATTCCCCAACACCAGCCGATGTGCCGACTTAAAACAAGTTAACAATTACTACACTTCTCTTAGTCGATGTTAACCTCGTTTTCAGTGGAAGAGGATTTGTGAAAAACAAGATTCAAAAATGTATTTACCCAAATAATTACCTAATATTGCTAATGTGTAAGGAGCTATTAGTCACTTATAGTTAATTGAGTAGATTTGCACAAATTTATTTCACATTTTTCTATTTTCTGCAGCTGTTTTGATAGTATATAGGCACAAGGAGTTAAAATGGAGGACTCTGTGAGAAAAAAATAAGTTCTCTTTAGACACCCTAAGTGGAATGATGAAACCCAACCAGCATCGATAATGCTGACCCTCAGCTGACCCTGATCTCTGACCCCAGAGCAGAGGGTAGCCAGGAAAAAGAGATTTTCCCATAGAGATCAATGAGTATCATTTTTTCCCCTTTTTGGCTATTAAATATTGTTATATATTTCAGACACGTCAAATGTATTGTAGTTATCAAATACATATAATATTCATTATGATTATGTTACAACAAAATTAAATCCAGGTGAGGATTTTAAGGACAAAAATATACAAAAGAAGTCAGAGTCAACTGAATGGCAGATGTGTTAAAAAAACAACATTTCAGCTTTCAGGCTTCGTGGTTCCACTGGTGAGCATTTGTCCTTTTCCAACTGAGCACAGTCCGCAAATTAATATGGCCATTAGGTGCAGTTTCTGAGCATTTTTATATTTCTTACTTTAATCATATAAATGATTTTGGACAGCACACTTTCAGCTCGATGTTTGCCTCTGAAGCGTTTGTATTAGTATGCCTCCATTCACTTCTGCACAGTAACCTAAAAACACTGAGATGCTCATGTTTTTCCTGAGGGGTTGCAGCATTTGTTGATGTCACAAACCTACAGTGTTTCATTTAGTTCTTAATATCGCTCCACTTTTATTCTTAATTTAACTGTGTTTGTTTGTGTGACTGTTTCTTTTATGCTTTTGAATATGTGTGAGATCTGAGCTTCTTTTCATTTTTTTACGCCCCTGTCTTTGACAGATGGATTTCCCCTTGGGGATCAATAAAATGTATCATCTTATTCCATCTCATCTCACCTGATCTCATCTCATCACCATGTCGACCATGGCCTCAAAACAGGAGGGCATTAATAACACTAATGGCAGATGGAGGTCATGAGTATGCCTACAGGTAGCCAATATTTAGATTCAGAGTTCTCAGCTGCCGGCAGAAGACACAGACAAACAGACAGATTTAAGTCCTGATCATTAAATTTCCAGTTCTCATTAAATAGCTCCGCTCTAAAATGTACCTGCAAAACTGAGCAACACCGCCCCTCGATGGACGGACTTGTAACTGAGCTCTACCCGGCAAAACACACTGGAAAGGCTCTTCTCGGCCACCGTACATTCGCGGAAATTGTCAAAACATTACTAAGCCAGTGAGTAGCGGTTTAGCTCGATATATTTTGTTAATGAAATATAAATTATAACCTACAATATTTTTTTCATTACAGGAATTTGAGCATGGAAGACGAATGGGAAGAGGAGGTATGAAATGCCACCAATTTACTAGTAGTTCCCATTCGATGTAGCCTCCCTGAAGCTACCGCATTAGCTCAGCTGCACATGAGGATACAGAGCAGTTTGATAGCGTAACATTTCCCAAGTGCTGGTTTAAGGGACAATCATCACACCAGATAATTTGACTTTTGTGTGTTTTTGTATTTGATAATTAACACGAACACGTAAAGAAAAATAACTCTCTGGTGAGTCTGTCTTTCTAATGCACTTTTATGTTTTCTAAAGCATCAATAATTTTGCTCTGTTTAGGAGCAGATTGTTGTTGTGGAGCTCTCTGGTATAATCAACAATGACTTTCTGACCAAGAGTGGGGGCACATGCAAGATACTGGTGAGTTTGAAGCATATTCTGTTGTACCGAGAAAAGAGAAGCCTAATTGCTTCCAGTGTAGCTTCATAAATCTACTTTTCTCTTTTGTGTGTAAGGACATTAACAGCGACAGACCCATGATGCAAGTTGGACCGTATGTGTTTGCAGGAGAATATGAAGGTGAGAAATCTTGCAAAATGAAAAAGATTCAAACTGCTTGTACCTGCTGTGTTTGCATCCTGTGAGGATACTTATTCATGTTGATGTCCTTTCTTAGTTCCAAAGAGTCATTTCTAACCTGATATCTGATTAACTATTACAGATTGTTTGGTCTGGAAATATAAGCCATTAATAGATGAGCATGTGGGTGCCACTGGCTGATTGTCTGTGAAGTTTTTTGTTGTGTTTTTTTTTTTTATCTTTGTTATCTTTGCCTCTTTAAAGATGCTTTGGGAACTTGTGTGCTGTTTGAGGAGACACCAGGAAAAGGTACCAATTTACTACAACTTTTTCAGTGGTTTTACTTAAGTACTTAAGTTGGGGGTTTTTTGTTTTTGTTTTTTTTTTAATTTGTTTGTTTTTGTCTGCAGGAAAATTAGTTGGTGGTCTAGATCTGAAGTACTTATGCCACACAGCGAAGAAACTGAAAATGCAACGAATCTTTCTCACAGAGAAGAAAGAGGGTGAAGCAAGCGCAGGTCAGCCTGGTTGCCCAAATTCAGTGCAGTGAAACATAGATGATCACGTCTAACATTGTTGATACAAGTCTGTATACTTTTAGGAGTTAATCAGCACAACCTGCTGTTTTATCTGCAGTTTGATAAAGAATCAATGCTAAAAACCCAAATATGGCTGTCTGTGTTTTCCTAGCAGGAAGCTGTGATGGTGGGAAACAGATGGACACAACCTGTGAATCCAGTCAAGGAGAAAATGTTAACCTGCGCGACAAGACAGAAAAAGATGGGGACAATGCAGATTTGGATAACTCAGCAGTTGGCTGAGATATATAGACTTTGCTGTGTCATAAGCTCCCATTGTTACATAAAACACTTTAATTTTTATGGCTCTGAGAGACTCTGTAAGAAAAACAAACTCATGCCAGTTAGATTACACTTGAGAGCTAACCAGGAGACATGTTTGAATTACTGTTATTTTTACACAATGTGTATGTTGCCTCTTTTATACTGAGCCTCTATGTCGGCAAATGTCATGCATAAGTTGTTAAATGTTTTATGCAAAACATGAATGTAGTTAAATCACACCCGAATAAAAAAACAGAATTTGTCATAGGTTGTCATGTATATTCATTCTCAACACATCTTTATAGGATGGACACATATATATAGATACTGGGTCAGACCCACTCAGCTCAGGAATTTACAATAATGAAAATTCTTGAGCAAAGGAAGACAAAACAGGCAGTATAAATGGCTATTTCTCTAATGAGCTACATAAACATATAAATAATTCAGAGGGGTATATGACTTAAAATATAATGGCTTTCATATTTCTGATCAAATCTACTATTTGGATGGCACTAAGGGTTGGAAGAGCACTGTGGCTTCACAGCAAGAAGGTCCTTTGTTTGAATCTTTCTGTCTGTGTGGGTTCTAACCAGGTACTCCGGTTTTCTCCCACCATCCAAAGTGTAGGTTAGGTAATCCTAATTGGCTGTAGGTTTGAATGCAAGTTTGAATGGTTGTCTGTTGGCTTTGTGATGCACTCGTGAACTCTCCTATGAGTCTCTGGCCTCCATTATAAACTGGGATATGCTCAAGCATCCCACAACCCTGTTTCCAAAAAGTGGAGAAAAAATGGATAGTTGGATACTCTGATGACAATATATAGTGGTAAAAATTAGTGGTTTCATTTTTTGATTAAATAGTTGCTCTCACTGGGTTGAGTTTTGTTTTTTGTTTTTTTTGTTTTTTTGTAATTGCAGGCCTTATTGCATTTTGTTCTTTTTCATTTCTTTTTGGCTACAATTTGCAAGTTTATAATTGTGGATTGTATAATTGTAAAAAATTGTTTATTTTTTAAACAAATAAAAAAGCCAAAAAAAAAAAAACCCGACTTCTGTTTACTTGTGCTTGTTTATGTGACTGCTTCTTTTATGTGTCTGAATATGTAATAGCCAAGCTTCTCTTCATTTTTGTAGCCTCTGTCTTTGACAGATGAATTTCCCCTTGGGAATCAATAAAATGTAACAACATTAATACTATACAAAATATATAATTAATGTATTTATTTATTTAAATAATAAGCAACATGTTTAGGCAATAAGTGGTGGTTTTGTAGCTTTTTTGATAGTGGCATTTATGAATGAAGTGTGTTTTGTCGCCTTTGAGGACGTGGCGGTTCTTGGCCAATCCAATCAACGATGTTCTCTTGAAGTGGACCAATGAACAAGCGACATCACATTCGGCTTCTCGTAACCTGATTGGTTGATTTTTGTTCTAGCACAGGAAGTGCATGGGTGTGTTTCCGAGGGGTGGACGTAAGGCTACAGCGACGAACTTTGTAGAAGAAACCGGTGAGTACTCAAAATAAATTGGGTAAAATCTCTAAAAGAATATGGCAAAGTGTATTTCTCCAATAGTGACTTAAAGTGGTCCGTTATGATGGTGCTGACTTATCCGCATTGAGCGCTTTAAATTGCAAGACTAATAGGGGGAAAAACAGCGGTATCCTGGGTTAGCCAGTCTGCTATTAATGCCTCACCTTGGTATGGATGGTAACGGTCTTAGAAATAACGGTCACAAACTGTTGCTTCTAACTTTAATACAAAAAAGGCAAGATTTAAGTTGTCGAGATAAAAAAAATAATTATATCGCTTGCCACGCTAAAGCCAGTATAATGGTGAGCTTTTTTTGATCACAGGATGATAAAATGACCAAAAATTAGAATATATGGGATAGCAACCCGGCAACTCTGTAAAACCGTTATTAGGTGTGTTTTTGCCAGGTAAACTTGTCTTTTAGAAGTGTATGTGAACAGGTAGCTTAACCTCATAAGTTTGCTTAAAAGCTCAAATCTGTGGATGTTTGGAGCAAAAGATCATGCAGCATGTTTTGAAGAGAAATCTGTACTCGATTGCCAGTTTATTAAGTATAGCAAGCTTTACGCCGTACAGTAAAAGACAATAACCATGTAATTAATCGTTGTTCAGGAGCATAATGTTTTAGTTTGTAGCGTTACTGGTGATTTCCTCACAGGAGTCGGTTTAACATGATGTGGACATCATATTCATACCTCCATTAAAATGCAGTTAGATTAGGGGGGGAATGGGGAAAAGCAATTTTAAATCACATTTTGTATGAGAATTTTTTTTTTCATATGCTCCATTAACATGTTTTGGTTTAATACTTTGTTGTGTGGAGTGACTGTGTAATATGCTGGGAACTGTCGAGTAGATTATGGTAATAACAATGTGTGGAACACCAGCTTCCAGAAAGCAGCAGTAGAACAAATAAAGGATTGCATAAGCTGTGAAAGATTAGCAGTACTTGTGGTATTTGGCTGCCCTTTGAGTCATATACTGGCAACCAGCAATGAATGAATGAAATCAAAAGACAGGATTAGTAATGACTGCATGCTTTCATCCCACGATAAAGAAATTGGTTTAGGAGGATGACAATGGCTTTTTGGTGACTTTTTTTCTCCCCTCCAAACTCCTGATCTAGACGGTGCTTGTACGTGCACAGGATGGAGCTGCGGCCACTCATCATGTGTTTTGCTCTCTGTGTGGTTTACGCCACCAGCAAACCCACAGACAAGAAGGAACGCGTGCACCACGATGAACCTCTCAGCAACCGAGAGCACGATGATACGGAGAACTTTGACTATGACCATGAAGCCTTTCTGGGACAGGAAGAGGCTAAGACTTTTGACCAGCTCACACCAGAAGAGAGCAAGGAGAGGCTCGGGTAACAACACTGTCTTCTGCTTTTTTTTTTTTAAAGTCACTGGGGGATGTTTGTAATTACCTGAATACTTTGAGGAATTGTGCAGATACAAATGAATCCCAAAATTGGTTGAAAAAGTAATTCTTATGGTACATTTTGTTTTGATCATACTTATCTGAGATGACAAAACTTTAGGGGGAAAAAAAATGAACCTTTTCTAATTTTTCTGCTCTTTCTTTCCAGCATGTTGGTTGAGCGTATAGATGAGGATAAAGATGGTTACGTGACTGTTGAGGAAATGAAGAAGTGGATCAAGCACGCACAGAAGAGGTGGATCTATGATGATGTGGATCGACAGTGGAAGAGTCATGACCTCAACGGGGATAACGTGGTGTCCTGGGAGGAATACAAGAATGCCACTTATGGATACATTCTGGGTACATAGGCAGACAACTTTCGTTTCATACGTTAGCTTTATTTTTATAGACAAATGTACTT